TCAAAGATTCTGATTAAGATTGAGAATCATTCATTTCTTCCTTTAATAATATATCGGCAGATTCGATCTATGCTCGATCGATATCAACTCGATAGATCCAAATTAACCATCATTTCTTTATGAATAATTTCTGGCTGCCATACGTGGAATGATGCAGCGGCTATTTTTCAAGAAGTGATGCAAATTTGTTGCGAACTCTTTTGAGCTTGCACGCATTCCTCATGATCCCGTCAACCCCAAGGTCCATCACAATCTTCTACATGTTCTCGGAGGCCGTTCAGTGTTGCGCCTGCTGCTCAGGCATGAGCCCATGGCATGCCCTTGTGCACCAAGAAGATCACCAAGTTCATCGGCCGGCTGAACTTCGCCGTCAGCCTGACGCATGCCAAAGTGCTGAAGCGGCGCCTTCATGACAAAAGCTGTAGACAATCACGCTAACAGAAAGCTGACATCTCTCAGTGAGCGCCGGACACGGCACCAGGCTGCCGGGCCATGGAAGCATGTCTTGGAAGTCCTCAGCTCTGCACATATCTTTGCCGCACGCTTTGACTGCACGAGACCAGCCGACCAGCCTAGTCGTCCTCGCTGGTGCTGTCACTTTGACTGTTGCCTGCCCCATGATACTGACATAACACATCGCAGTAGCGGAGGGTGCACCAATCAAAGGCCTGCTTGACCCCTATCCGCAAGCCGCATCGCTTGCCTGGAACATCAATAGCTACTCTGCTTCACTCAGCCGGGCATCTGGACAATGTCGAGACATGTAGTCATTTAGGCAAGCGCTGTGCAGCAGAAGCAGGCGCATCACGTCGTGCCTGCCGAGACATGACACAGGAAATCGTGCAAACCTTACAAGCAATCAGCGCATGACAAGAAGACTCATCTGTCGCAGCCTTCGGCACGGCCTTCTCTTCATCACTGCTCGAGTATCGAGGCTGCATACGAAAGGCTCCCAAACCTCGCTCAAGCCAAAAACCAGAAAAAACAAGATTTTTGGGCAGGGCTGCTTGCCCTAGGGACTGATCACAAATCCTCTGAGGAACCTCGGGCTTTCGGAAAGTGTCTCAGGTACCCATCACCAAATCTCCTCCTACATTACCCATTGGTATTGGGCTGAATTGACCGGCCCCTGGGCGTGGACGGTGTGCCGTGGTACGGGATCGACAGCAGAAATTGAGCCCCATTCCTTTATGAGCCGGGTTCAACCCTGCCCCCTGGGCCTAATGCTGTGGGGGTGACCGCAAGTGCGACACGCGCACATGCCCCGAGGCAACACCAAGGGACTAGGGACCTCGTACGCGTGTAGCACAAAACTAGCTATGCTCTACAGGCATGGATGAAGCACCTGTCAGTCCGCCGGCCAGCAGGCTTCGCTGCTTGCCGGTGAGCGCACTGCGCCTTGGCTCTCGGATTCATCGAGAGCGGCTGATGTACGACACTAACTCAGGCTGCAGCCCTTCAAGAGGATCATCATCCTCATCGCTGTCAAGACCTAGGAATTCAACCATGAAACTCCCGCACTTGCTTCTTCCGCTTTTCTCGCCATATTTGTTCTGCAGCTCTGTACGCATAGCAGGGTTCTGGGCTGGCTATCGCATGGGCTGCCGGCCTGCATGAGCGCCGTGTACCCCGAATGCGAAAGCCACAATGCAGCAAAGAGGCCGCCGCAAACGCACAAAGCAAAGAATCCACTTCATTCCGGTCACTGACACATCATGACTATGCTTTCATATGATTCTTCTGCCTGGTGCTGCTGGTGCTGGTGGACTTCGCAGGCGGCTTCGTGCCGGACAGAACTCAGCTGTGAGTTGCAGCGGCCAGCGTGCTGCACTCGGCATGCTCTCGGCAGGTCGCCAATGACTGCAAGATCTTGCAAGGACACGACTCGGCACTTGGTCGCCTCAGGCTACCGCAGATGTCGTCGTCATCGCTACTGTCGACAGCGGCCTGCTGGATTTCTGCCAAAGCGGGAGGGCATGGAAGATCTTGGCCGAAAAATGTCTAGGACTGCGTGTTCTGGCGCCCCCCCCCCCCCCGATTTCATCCCGTTTGCATTGTCTGTCAGGGGCTAAGCCAGCTAGAGCACCGTCTGGTTTTTGATTTTCTTGAACGGCTCACTTCTGGGGAACGTTTTTCTGGGGCATTGCTCAGAGACACTCTGGGTCTGGGAAGCATGGGCCTGAAGCCCCAAGACCTGGGGCCCAAATGTTTGTGGAATACAGAAACCAACCGGAACCAGCCTGACTTGCCTAACAAGCTGGAAGGCAGCCAAGCGCGGCCGGGTTTCGGACACCGATGTAAGTCCTTTTATGCCTTTTGATCTTTGTGGACGTATGGTCTCCTGCTTTATACAGTCTCCGTCCAGCTCCGTGGTTTATTCGATGTCTATTGAGCACAGCTTGTCAGCTTGCCCGCCTTTGCTTCTTCTGGCTTCGAGCTTCTGGGAGCTGCCATTGAAAGCCTTCCATGACATGTCGCAGTGTTGTGCGCCGCAACCTGAGCTGGTCCTGGAAACGGCCTCAGTCCGCCCAAAGGTCGCTTTGCGGCGAGGTTTGCAGGGCCTCCGCCTGCGCAGCATGTGCAGCTTACGCGGGCGTGCGCGTGTCACCACCTGTCCAGGATTGCTCGAAGTTGGAGGTGACGTGGCCTCGCTGAAGGGGGGCTAAAGAAGCCTCTGCAGCAGCTGCCATGGCTGCGCGAGCCTCAGTCAGCCGATATGGGCTTCGGCAGTTTGCAGGGTTGCGAGGCTCCGGCTTTCTGCTGTGCAGGACGAGAAGGCAAAGAACCATTTGAACCTCTGCACGGGAGGAGCGCCTCTCCAAAGGTGAGAAGGTTCTCGAAACCCTAGGGGGCCGATGCCTGGCCGCCAGTCAGCTCCTCCTGAAGGCAACCTGTTCACGTGTTGACAATGTCTTCCTGACAACATGGGGGTGGTTAACGAATCAAGAGCCCTCTTGAGTACCTACAATAAGTAGGTGCACAAGTGGGCCCCCGATTTAGAACAACCCAGCACTATTGGCACATGAAGCCTTGCTTGCCATTTCTCTGCGTCTTCATCGTCGTCCTCCAGATCCAAGATCTCAACCTGAACATGATGCACAACACGAAAAAATATTCTAGGGTCGTTGCGGATGCACAAATGTGGCCTCGTCACTTGAAGATGGTGGATCCTGGTTTCAACAGTAGCCAGGAAGCCACCACTGGCGTTACAGGGTGTGGTGCTGCGCTTTGCGACGTGCCTCTTCGACGTGCTTGGACTTCTCCACCTGCTTTCAACAACCCAGTGTGTACAAGGATGAATCAAGGATGATCAGCACGAGCAGCCGTTGGTTTTGCAACCCCACTTCAAGAAGATTCATGAACGAATGACCTTTGACTCGATCATTGACAGAGCCCTAAGTTGAAGTCGAAAACCGTTGAGCCTGGGAGACACTGGTGAAGAGTGGCTCATCGGGAAATACCTGACAAGGTCTTGCAACATGCAGCTCTCCGTCACAGGCACGAACTGGAGATCCGCGGCCTCCACCAACTTGCCGCTCACATCCTCGCGTTGGGACCATGAAGCAAGCTCGCAAAGGAGATGAATCTAAAGCTGTGTTGATTCTTATTGCGATTAATTGCTAGTTTCTTGATTTGTCCTCGGTTGATGCGTCGCTCATCAGTCGGTTCACCCGCCGGCTTCCAACTGGGTGTACTGGTAAGGATGGCCTCCAACAGATAGCAGTTGTCTTCTGTTGCTACGCCTGCACAGACAGCAGGGCTTGGCCTGGTCTGAGGTATTTTCGCCATGGACTGGCCCTGGCTTTCACCTGTGTGGGGTGAGTCATCTTACACTCGGCTTGGACAACATTTGAAGTGCAGTGAGGCCCCTGACCACTGGCCAGGGGATCAGCACAAAGCATTGCCTGGAGATGAACACACATGCATCTGATCAGGAAGTGTCAGGTATGACCATGCACATGCCATGCAAAGCGCGGCAACTGAAACTCTTCCGCCTGTGTCAGTTCCGGTGGCCCATCTGGCTTGTCATCGCAGCCTGCTGCACTTGTCGCATTGACGAGGTTTTCTGTATCATGCAGCTCTCCACTCCGGCAGCAGAAGTCTGCTACAGTAAAAGCATGCAAAAGCCTGTCAAGGATACGATGAGCTTCTCGCAAGCGTCGAGGCTTGGAATCTGCACATCACAGAATGACCGTTTGGATATGTCTGCCATGTGGCCGAAAGGGATGCCAGTGACCAGCGAATCAGAAACTAGCAAAAATCACTCTCACCCTTTTACCAAGAGGTTGCGGGTTGGGATTGTTGATGCAATGGAAGCAAGAGCGTCCACTTTTTCGCCTGCCAGTTGGCAGAGTCGGCTTTGCCCGAGAAGTCATAGATTGCATTCCAGAAGTTCGTGCTGGGATCGAACTTTGCCTTCGAAGCCACGATGGGCACGTGCTGGTGCAAGACTGCAGCCGACACGACATAGCAATCCTGAAGCCTGAGCCCATTGCTTCTCTGAAGTGCTGCAGCCTTGGAAGACATAAAACTGATCGCGAGGCCTGACCCTTAGACATTTCACTTTGCTTTACCTTTCTGGTGTATCTTGTCACGGGCCCCTGGCAATCCTGGGTACTCAGCGCAGAAAGGCGCGATGCGCAAGTCCTCACAGCTGAGGTGCTAATCCGATATTTGGGCGTTGGCCATGTCGGGTGTCCAGGAGGAATGGGAAGGACTGAATTTTCAAGGTGCTCAGGTAAGCTGGCTGACAAGTTCAAGCAAAATCCATCAGCCATCTTTGTGCCCAGCCTGGGACGATTCAATGATCGGCTCAGTGTGGCAGTGCCTCGTCTGTTTACGTCTAGTTCAAGGCCTGTTGCTCTGCAGATTTGGTTGCATGGCCCAGTTTGCCTACTGCTGCATGAAATCACTGGCAGCCGCTCGTTGTAAGATCAAGGCAAGTAGAAGGTGCAGTTGGAGCATTCTCTGACGCGAAACTGTTTGGTGGCAACCTGACCAGACTGTGATAGAACGAGCCTAGATGCGAGATTGCGCAAGATGAAGTTTCACGCTGCTCAGCGTAACACCCAGAAGGTGCAGTTCTCGCAGTTCCTCACGAAGGTGGAGTTTTCGCAGGGCCTCGGTCCCAGTGTGGGAAGCTCTCATGATTCATGATGCACACACACACAAAGGCCAAGGCCCAATGAGAAGGCGACAGTCTACAAGACCCTTGGCTAGAAACAGTTGAGCGTCACTTGCTCGACATTGAAGGATGACGAGCCGTATCGGGATTCATGCAGTTCGTGCGTCGCAAGGTGCAGGCTAGTGCTGTCAAGGTTCGTCCGCATGAAACTCCGAGGACTTCTCGCAAACCAAGCAGGTGCAACCACTACAGTCCTGACTGCACTTTGATTTCATCATGTCTCCAGTGGCGGGTGACTACTCAACCAAGATCTCTCTCCTCCACGTGGAAATCGACGCAGTCCAGACCACCAAATGCCCCAGGCTTGCGCACGATCATTTTGTTGAACCTGCTGTATAAAGTCTTCGGAATGACGTAAAGCTCGCAGCATCTAGCCGCACTCGCTCCTGTCATGGATAGCATAGGGCTTGAGCTCCTTGAGACCACGCTTGAATGCCTCGAAGTTGTAGAGGCGGTGGCTTCACGTCTGTGCAAGTGCAGGGCACCAAGGTTCGGGCTGCCAGGTCCACCCGGTCGTCCTGCTGGTGGGCCTCGTTTCTAGCAGAGCTGAGAACTGAGCTAAGTGCAAAGTGCAAGGTCGTTTCGAACGCATCCTCAAGCACAAAGCCGCTTTGATATACACGGGCCGCCGACACACAAGAATGCCAACACCTCAGCCTGCACCGGAACTTCCAGGTTCTCTGAGCACCAGCAGGCTGGAAAGCATGCTTGCCTCGCCATACCCGAGATAGTCGCGGAGGTATGACCTCAAACGTCATGTCACGACTTGAGAAGAAGCACGCACGATGGCCGAGGCGTCGGACAGCAAGTCCTCCTTGCCCAGAAAGCCATCGCCGTCAGCATCCATCTGTGATTCAGCTGCGTAACGGCCACACTGCGTGTATGTCCGGTATCGTGTGTGCCTCTTCGAAGAGCTTGGCAAGATCTTTGGGACCTTACCAGTACTCTGACAGCACAAAGACTGGTTCCCTTTGCTTCCCACATCGTGTTAGGGCTGCTAGGGTAGTTGCGGTGCAGCGGAGACAGGCCCGTGAGCATTGAGCGCTTTGGCCTTAGCACATGCATGAGCCAGAGCTCTGACGGCCGTTCTGTTTCATGGTGGCGATTTCGTCAGACAAACTCTGAATGGCTCATTCGAGCATGCCTTTATCATCAACAACCTCCAATGAACAACCCGGAATGCGCCTGAAAGCTGCATGAGTCGGGGATCCACAAGCCGCTCAGCTGCAAGATGCTGTAAGGGAGTGGCGGCGTCTCCGAGCTGCCGGCTTTTGCCTGTCGCTTAACAAGACTGTCCGGCTACATGAGCAACAACTCGCTTTGCTCACTTTGCTGCCCTCATGGCGCACGATTTCTCACGCTTCTTTGATGTTCTGAGGCTTTGCTCGCAGCCAGCTCTCAATTGCTTGATTCACCTCGGCAGCTGCTTCTTCCTTAGAATTGGACGCTGGATGCGCAGAAAACGAAGTCAAGCCAACACCCCGTGTGTGTCTCTGTGTGTGTGAGGTGCGTATATGTCAGTGCGCAGGAACCGGCACCGCTAGCTGATTTCTGCAATTTTTGCTTGCCACACTTGTTCTGGTCTGGAAGCGGAAGCCAATGCTAGTTTTTCTGGCAAACGCTAGTGGATACCGTTGGCACACGCAATCGAGTCCGGACTTTAGTTCGAAATGTAGCTCGAGCGTCCTGCACATAATGCCCCGCATCCACAGGCATGACGCAACAATCTGCACGCGATCGGAGGTGCTCCTCCCACTCCGCTGTATGAAACCTTATTTGCGCTGCATGAACCAACCTTCCATACTTGTAATGAACGAACGGAATTCTCCCATGCTTTTCACTTTAGGCAAGCTTCAAGAACGGCTTGTTCCTTGCGAACTTCTGCCCATACCTGAGCATCCAGGTGAGTTGAAATTTCATGGTTTCACGAGACTTTCTCGGCAGAACTTGTTGCTGACAAGGTGCACAAATAAGCAGGGGCAACTGGGCAGGACTTGCCCTCAGCACGATGACGCTGTGAGCTGATGCTGCTTCGACTCAGCCAGCAGAACGGGCCTTCATTGGTTTGTCGAACTGAAGGTTGTGGAGGAGCAGATCGGCAGCCGAGATTTTTGAAGAAGTAGAAGTATGGATAGCATGCCTGAGCAACTTGCAAGAGTACACTTGGGACGGTTTTTGCCAGCAAGAGTAACATGCAATCATGAACATTTCTTGAGGCTCTGAAGTTCTACTAAGTTTGATCAAGCTGCATTTCCGGTGACAAGCCGATCGTCTCGCTCAATGTAGCGCGCCAGGATGCGGGCCATGTGGTCGCCAAGAGATTGCCCGACACCCGCAAGGGGCGTGCTCGCGGTCAGTCGACACAGAAGATAGGCGGCTACTAGCCAGCCTTGGTACCTTACAAAGTAGTAGAGAACATCCTTCCATCCGAAGTAGGAGGGATGCCCAACATCCAAGGCGATGATGGAGCTCACCAAGCCTGAAGCAACTCTGTTGCCACTACAGTATGGCTTTCAAGCGCAGCAAGTTAGGCTGAGGAGCTCGGATGCCGGTGCTGAAGCATGAATCCCCAAACGCCTTGTGTCTCTAAGTGATCTTCGAAGCACAAGGCAGTGCTCACAGCTGCTCACAGCATGTTGTAGCCAAGCTGCAGCCCCAGTCGTGCAGGACAAGAGTGACCTTGTGCTCGCCACACTCTTGACCTTTGTTTGGATGCAGCTTGGTGCAGGTTGCTTGATCCTTTACCATTGTCGCTTCGTTGCGAATTGTCTGTGCCAGCAAATCTGCCGCTTCATCGAAGTCATAGCCCTGCAGCTGTTTTCACTCTTGCGCTTGCGAGCGTGGGTTGTAACAATGACGACGGAATGACATATAAAATGGCAAGGCACCTGCGCACGATAGTGCAGGGCAGCACGGTGCCCTCCGAAAAAGGGCAAGGTTACGCACTTGCCTGGGTGGCGGAAGAATTTGC